ATTTTGTATATTAACAATTATTATAAAAATATGATATATAAGATAATATACAAAAATTATTAACGCAATGTTGAAAAAATCAATAATTCGTGAGAAATATTTTTTAATATTATTTATTCCAATAAGTAAAAGTCTCGTAAAAGATGTTTATCTCATAATTTTTTTTTTTAATCTTTTCCCCTCGTCATTTATTACAAACTCGTTTGTTCTCTTTTATTTATGTTTATATACAGAGAGCAAGATGGCAAGATCTGTATTTGTATAAAAAGAGCAGTCTCCGACATTCCTTCCGTTTGTAGTAGAAGGAACAATTCTCTATTCCTTTTTTTTAACTCTACCCTGGTTTTTGACGATGCTGCGATTTGTTACAGAGGGATTGAACTGTGATTTCGATCAGGATAATGCGAAGCCTGGATAGGCTATCGGGTAGCGACCAAGACTGCGGTGATCGGGAAATGTACATCGATCTGGACGACGCCTCCGTCGACTCGCTTACCGGGAAACGTACTCGCCATCATGTCGTTGGCGCAGAGGTATCTCATCTATATTTTCTTTTCCCTTTCTATATTTCTTTGTTTCCCCTCTTATCTTCGCGCTTCCCCGTAACGCTTATTATCTCCCTTGAGGCTTTTAAAGAAGCCTCCACGAGCGAGAGTTCCAGCATTTATTATTCGAGAGATAGTCGGCCTACATAATTCTCTATTATCAAGGCGTGATTGATAAGATTCAAGTTTTTTTCCGGCAGCGTGCGGCCTCTCATTTTGTAACTCACTGCAGTTTACGGTAGATAATTCACGGCGTGACACGAGTACGGTGCGATTTAATGCAGTGCGATGCACAACCGAAATCAACTGTCTACGTCCAAGTGAATTCCAAGAGTAGCTAGACGACGAATCAGATTCAGAGGTGAAGACCGTCCAATGTAATCGTTAATATACGCGAGACAGCGTTTCATTATTGACTATAACAAATTGAGCAAATAATCTTTCTTTTTATCAGCGTTATGCAGCGCCGCGAAGGAAATTGTTAAGATTTTATCTGCCGATTTTATCGCTTAGACAAATACCTGCGATGCGCATTGTTGAGAGGAGGGAGGTGAAGAAAGTCAAATAAATTTCATTGTTGATGAAAATAGCACGGTAGGATCTCCGTCTAGATTAGATTTTAAAAAAGCCATGTTATGTAACACGTTATCATGCATTAATACAATCAGCTTTGCTTGTGTCAATTTTATTCGGATGTAGATATGCTTGCGCGGCATACAATATGTTTTTTTGAGATAGACGTCTGTAAATTAATTCTTCTTCTTTTTCTTATAAAAAAAAAAAAAAAACGAATAATAATTAGAAATAAATGGTAAATTAATTTCTTAATGCATTACCGAGATACATTTTTATTGATGAACAATCGGATTTATATCACAGTGAAACGTTTGTCATCATGTTGTATATAGGAATATATGTAATTATATAAAGACGATAAAAATGCCCAATGACGACACAAGATATTTACGTGAGCGTTTCGTGTTTCCTGAATTGACTGGGAGGATCGCAACATCAGCATAATTCTCGAATGCAAATGATTTCTTTCTGGGAAATTCTCAAATAGAAATTCGCTCGTATCCGGAAGGGTGGGGGGACCCCGCGGCAAATATTTGACAAAGATCTGTCCTGTTACTGAACCGAACGAAAACACGAAATAGGTGGGCGAGGAGAGCGACAGCAGCGGGAGCGAGAGAAGCCCGAAGCAGGCGAAGAGAAGAAATCGCGGCGGCGCGCCACCGACCACGAGAAGACGGAAAAGCGGAATTTCCGCGCGCGAGAGGAACTTGAGGAGGCTCGAGAGTAATGAGAGAGAGAGAATGAGAATGCACTCCCTCAACGATGCCTTTGAGGTAACAGTTTATTGCTTCCTCATACAGCTTTCGCCTTGTCGCGTCGACGAGCGCGAGGAACTTTGCTAAAAACTTTAGAAACGAGAAACTTTCGCTGTGGAACGTTTCGTTAAATAGAGTATAAATAAATAAAGCG